TGTCCGTCCAATGCATTTCAATGAGAGAGAAAAAAATCACCAAAAATTAACGAAGACTCAGAACAACACCAAATTAAGTTTGCATGGGTTTCAGGAGATGGGCTAATGATTGCAAGGATTAATCTGTTCCAATTGGAACGGATTAACCGGTTTTCAATGCATTCCTATGGGAAATGGTGTCTCACTTAACAATGTTTTCACATAACGATTTTTTAAATGGAACCAATTAACATCGTTAAGCGAAGCACCACTGTATAAGACTATACTTTTGTCTAAAATCTTTAGACTAAAAATTGAGGGTTGTACTATACACTGAAGTAAGCTGAGGAGAGAACAAAAACAAGTGGAAGGGAAAGCAGGGATCAAAGCTATCCTGCAGTGCTTTGATCCCTTTCCCCCTACACTTGCTAAGCCCCACTTAGATTTCTTAATTTTGGATTAGAAAAGTGGGGGTGTCTTATACATGGAAAAATACGGTAACTCATGCCTTGGACACAGCACCTACCTTGACAAAAACCACCCCACGCACAGCCTTCAGAATCAGCATGACACCCATGGAGAGTGCATAGATACCAGCATAGTAACGCATATGAGGATTATCCTTCATGCTGCTGCTTATAACTGTTTCATTTCCCAGCATCAAGGTGGAGTTCTAGTAAACAAGAACCAAGATATTATATAAGACAGAAACATGATACAAGTTTGCCCATAAAATCATATCATAGAATCATAGAAAAGTGAAGTTGGAAGGGGCCTACAAGGCCATCAAGTCCAATTTCACACTGTCAGCTGATAGTCTTCAGCCAATATTATATTCTTATTTTTCCCTGAATATTTAATAAAGCGAGGAGTTTTTCATAGCCAATCAATAAGCCTTCCGTCTAATCAAACATAGGTCTTGAATTTCTCATGGAGATCTTTATTCATTATCAGTGTGCTCCACAATTTTAAAATTACAGACGTATATGAAACATAGGCAAAATTCTTAAGAGATTACAAAGGCAGGAAAAGACTACCAGGGCACTCCAATGATTACTCATTCCCTCTCAAAGTTGCACTTCAATAACAAATGATTTTCTAAGCTGATACAACTCTACTGATAAAAGTTGGCAGATTTTTCAGCTCAGGAAAATCTAGCAAATGTTTGCAGTTCCACTTCAGGATCATTATTTAGACCAACTAACCAAATGGAACTGTTTTAAATCTTCAAACACGATAAGGCTAACTTCTCTTGGATAAAGTTATTATGGCTTACAATATCCTGAAGAACATTTCCCCTTGTATATGTTATTAGACTTACAGAGGTTTCATTCTCGATTCTTTTTCCTAGCTCTTTCTAAATAGTGGAGCAACAAGCGCTGTCTGTCTCTCAGCCACCTGGACTGCTCACGTATCAAAGCTTTCCTAGAAATAGTTATTAATAGTTTGATTACTAGCTCTAAACTCATCTTACAAGTCATCACTAGCAGCTCAGTCCCCTTTTCTCCCACCAAAGAGCTACTTCATCATCTTTCTAGTAAATGAAAATAGCCTACACAATAAACAATGGGAACAATGATGCTGGCCTAAATCTTACTGTGACCCTTTAAAGTATTCTATTAACATAATGCATATTAATAAATTATGCATAAACAAATTAACATAATGCATGTCGGTGCTGTGAATGTTTGCAAAGATTTTATAAATGCCAAGTTTTTGTAGTATCCCTCACCGGCCCTTTGGTATACTGGTCAAAGCCGCCATTTTCACAACAAAACGCCCCTGATTCTTTCCAGTCATGCACTGGAACGCAGTGGCTCAAGGGCCTCCCCTAGAATTGAAGCCACAGCTCACTGGTAGAGCACATGCCTTGCAGGTTGACCTCTCTTAAGAATCATCCCTTTGCCACTTGAAGGGATCATAGAGATGCATTTCTTGCTGGAGCAGACAGTCCTTTGGTGGATGGGCACAAGGTCTTACTTCATAAACATTGTCTCCTCACCACATAGACACATCCTAGATACTCCCAGCTGCTATTTTTTTCCTGCAATCCTCTTCCTACACAAAGATTCTGCTACTCACTCCTTTTTATTCTCCAACTTAAGATGCCCATCTTTTAAAAAAATAATACGTCTGTATAGTTGGTATTTCATTTACAGTGGACTCTTGACTTACAGATGGCTCGACTTACAGATTTCTTGCTGGAGCAGACAGTCCTTTGGTGGATGGGCACAAGGTCTTACTTCATAAACGTTGTCTCCTCACCACATAGACACATCTTAGATACTCCCAGCTGCTATTTTTTCCTGCAATCCTCTTCCTACAGAAAGTCTCTGCTAGTCTCTCCTTTTTAGTCTCCAACTTAAGATGTCCATCTTTTTAAAAAATGAGACTACATCTGTGTAGTTGGTATTTCATTTAACTGCTGGGTGCTTCCGTCTTTAACTTTACATCCCTCAAGCACCTTTTTTAAATACAAAGAACACTTGTGTTGTTTACATGTGTTTGTTCACGTTTACAATTCAGGAACTGCCAATCTACTAATTCCAATATTTCTCTATGGCAAGGATAAATCACAACTGTCATAGGCAAAAACTATTAATCCTAATAGAAAGTCCTTTTTTATTATAACTACGGACTTCACCATGATAAGTTCATTTTTCCACGGATGGACAGCATCTTCAAATGAGCTGCTCATGTGGTCCAAAAGGCAAAGTTGATTCAAATCAATCTTGCTTATGCCTTCCTATAAGCCCTGTAGTCTTATTTTTCTATAGTATATTAAATAGAAATTAGGAATTTCTTAGCCTGTTCCATATTTTCTCTGTTGTTTTATGTGCGATCTAAGTTCATCCACAGAGCTTACATGAACTGTTATTCCACTTGATCCTATAGCCATAATCTCTTCCCTACATTTCATCCCAGCTCCTACGACTACCATCTACATTGCAAATAAACCTTTGCCCCAAATTTTGCTTCCCCTGTGTGAAGAAATGGATTGCAATCCACAAAACCTCGCCCTGCTTTTTACTGCTAAATACAATATGGTCTTATTCAAAGTATATACAACAATGTTTGTCAACATAACTTTTTTGAGGAAGAGTTCTTTGATTCTGCAGTTCAGAGTTAAGAACTGCTTAACCAGTTCTGCGGATAAAGTTTGTTATCCAAGTTGTCTTCTAAATCTTGCAAGCAAGAAACTACTAATGCATGTTCAAAATAGGTCAAAGGCTCCTCAAGCATTAAGGCAATTATACATTAGTTGTTATACATTAATGATATATATTAAATGCTGAAGGCTTTGATTCCAGCTTCTTTTGAACTGGCTCAGCATTAATCTAGGTCGACTGGAATATGGGGGATGTGTGTAATTCTACCATGCTGCCTGAAACTGACTAATGTACCAACAAGCAGAGTGAAAAATCCCTCAGAATACGTCAGCATTTTTTAAAAGGTTATCTACATACTGTTCTGCCATCTTACCTCTTAACTATATGTCTATGTTGGTTTTATTTTACAGTATATGCTTTATTTTTTATTTCTATTTTGATTTGTGTTTGATTTTGCTTAATTTTGAGTTTATATCCACCACTGACAGATTGTAATTTGATGAAGTCTTTATTTTGTGTCTTTTAAAAAAAAATTGTAAACCACCCGGAGTGGCATTGTAGCCAGATGGGTGGTATAGAAGTTGAATGAATGAATGAATGAATAAAATACATACTAGATTTTTGTCATTATCCATTAGCTGAAACACATGTTCCTTATATTGTCTTACTGTGCTTCAAATATGTTACAAGCTTTTTAAATGGGGCTGCGGCTAGACCACAGCAGTGAATCCAACATCAAAGTCATTAGCCAGCTGCCATCCCCACCTATCAAGGAGGCAGTCAATTTTTAAAAAAGGATATGCTGCTCCCTCTCAGACACACCATGTGAGACAGTGGCATGGAAGCCTTATAGTCTTCTTTGACATCTTCTTACCGCTGGCGCCTCCTGCTGAGAGAGTGTCCCAAAGCAGGGTCTGAGAAAGAAGCAGCACAACCTAGTTTCGTGTCAGATGAGCGGTGGCTAGAGAAGGGATGGAAGAGCCTGCCTTAGAACAAGTTAGACCAGTGGTCCCCAACCTTGGGCCTCCAGATGTTCTTGGACTTCAACTCCCAGAAATCCTGTCCAGTAGAGGTGGTGGTGAAAAGGTTTCTGGGAGTTGTAGTCCAAGAACATCTGGAGGCTCGAGGTTGGGGACCACTGAATTTGACCATTTATCCATCCTACCCAGTCCTGGCAACTGAGGGGCCAGCAGAGTTTCAGCCAGGAATCTTTCCTCCCCTTAGCTGGCGAGCTCCAGCATTGCCCGGGTTCTAAATAGGCCTTGTCTTTTACCAGACTTCTCACCAGGTCTAGCCCTGTGCTCAGCTTCACAAATCAAAGGATACTAAGTCTGTTCAGGACAGCACAGCGCTTCACTTTTCAGCTGAAGAGTAGGAAAGAAAAAGGGGCAGTGGAACAAACAGTGTATGATGCACTGATGTACTACAGACAGGTATCTTGAGAGTTCAAAATCCATGCACTGCTGCATAGCCCTCTTTTTAATGTACAGTGGTGCCTCGCAAGACGATGTTAATTCGTTCCACGAAAAACAGTCTTGCAAAATGCGGTTCCCCACTGGAATGCATTGAAATCTATTTAATGCATTCCAATGGAAAAATCATCCATAGAAAACATTGTCCTGCAAAGCGCAACAGCGATCGCAAAAACCAATTGTCTTGCGGATTAATCGTCTTGCGAGGCACCACTGTACACATATTTTTCAGCCTTAAAATTTTCCACAATATTTAAATGTTGTCCTACAAAAGGACTGTTTCTGTGCACTAATATCATGACTTGCCTCGCAACACTATCTCCTGCTCCTTCGATCAGAAATATGGCACCCGTATACTAATTCCAACCAGTTCCATGAAGGCAATGTTTTCTTGACCAACAATTCAAAAAGACAATTGCTCTTACCCCGCTGCCTTGTTTGATCCAGTAACTTAGCCACCAATTGCTGAATGCAGTACTGCCCACATTCAATATGAACAGTGTCATAATGATGAGAAACGCAATGGGGCCTCCAGCTGCCTTGATATATACACCATAAGCCGACCAAGGGACAGAACCTTTCCCTTTATCTTCCACTTGTATGAGTTGGCCTAAAGCACACAAATACAGATAAGGGGTGTGTGAGAGTAGACTGATAAAAAAGATCCAAAGACCTTGAAGTATACTGTTTCTGTATCATCACCATATAGGTTTCCCTGACAATATTCATTCTCATAAGTAGCAGAAACAAACAAATAAGAACATTTTAATAGGCTGGAATTAGGTTCTATTACAAGTTTTACGTGTAACTACAGTTCATACAAATTGTCAGGTTGATTCTAAGACCGCACTGCAAAACCCTTCATTAAGGTGTTCACAACAAGTGTGCTAGTGCAAGAGAAACTTTCAGGCATAGATGCACGGCCTTAATTGGTGAACACCTCTGTGACAAAGAAGAGCTTACGGAACCACAGCATGCAAACAAAGGCCATGATGGACCATCAATACCTGAAACCAGGTGGTCAACATAGTGAAAACCATCAGGAAATGAACTAAATAAAAATGCAATGCATCAGATTGGTTTTAACCCAGGTCCCTCTGTTTCCCAGCACCAAGAGACAATAGCACAGAGGCATGGGCTACAGGGAAGTCCATGTATTTTTCCTGATTGGAATCAGTACCTTCTTCTTTCTTCACCACCTTCTCTTTCTTCACAGATCCTGATTTGGACCCTTTATCTGGGTGCTTCTTCAGTGAAATGTTTGTGGTCTTCTTTATGTTAACCTGGGGGGAAAAGGGAGCGACGGGAGGACTGAGACCTATTTGAACATAGGAACAGGAGCAGCCATACTGTACATATAATTGAAAAAAGGAGGGCAGGTCTGGTTAGAATCACAGAAACAGGTATGTTCTCCCTTACAAGCCCTACAAAGGCTGCCCAGCTGCTTGCAGCTGCAGTTTCACAGCATCTTTAGGAGAAGCTTCACTAGCTTTAAGTGAAAGCAAGGAATACTTGATTCCCATAGGTACTATGGATGGCATAACAGAGACATTATTCACACATCTTTCAGCGCTCAAGCTGTGAAAACTAACAAGAAATCAGGATAGATTTTAAAGAATCCAGAGTGATCTGTTTTGCTAAATTTGGATTCGCAAAAATGTGCTCCTTTGCTGCCTTGTTCTGATCTTGGTTTATTCGACAGAGCCTGATTGTGCAGGTAGTACAACAAAATCGGACCTCCATAAATGTGCCAGGCACTACACCCAGCAATAGGGAATTGTGCAAGTCAGTGGCACAATTGCTCCTGCTTTTTCCACTGCCGCTGCTGTACAACCCACTGGCAGAAATGCTTCATGGAGAGCGTTTCCATCTTGGTGCCACTTTTGCAGTGATTGCAGGTGTGATGTCAAGTTACACCTGCACAACTACACCAGAATATTTTGCCCCCTGTTTTCCTTAGGTTTTGAGAAGTGATTGTTATACTTTTGTTCTCACTTGGGGCCTTACTGTATTTGCCTTAGCCAAAACCCCAAAAATAAAATTATTTCACCGCATGATAAAATTGACCGGCAAATCAAAATGCTGTCGAATAAAACTGTCTGCCCTGAAGAGGAATGATCCTCTGTTGTCATATATCCCCTTAGGTCAACCCAAATCATTGTCAGTTATTACAGAATATACAAGCAATAGGCTTCTCTGCTGTGGAATCTTCTACATTTCCAAAGGTAGCTCACCGAGCCTCCATTCTGGTGACTTTTCTCAAAGCACACAGAAACATGGATGTTTCAAGCAGCCCACTTGGCAGACGGATGCAATGCAAGATGACAGAGTTAATCTGCTGACAATTGTATGTTTATATACTACAGTAAATGTCTATTTGCTTAAAAATTACACTTAAAACATTAAAGATGTTTATTCATTATAAGAACAATTTCCATCCATTGTCATTTCTCTTTGGTCTTGGAGGAGATTTTTTCAGGGGGAGGGGTTTGTAACCTGTATACAGCTTTGAATGTTTCTTACAAGATAGAATTGCGGCAGAGAAACAGTACGAATGGGTTAATTACCTCAATATGTGGTGTGTCTCCCAGCTGCAGGCTGTTAAAAATGGCTGCATAATCACCATTCAGATTCATCAGATCCTCATGGCTTCCCCTCTCGGTGATACAACCCTCTTTCATGAAGATCACTTCATCACAATCCACAAGATACTGAATACCGGCGACAGGGAGCGGAAGACTTATCATGTGATGGGCCTAAAATCTCATTTTTCATTTTTATCATTCTAGTGGCATCGCAGTACTGTGCTACTGATTACACATCACACAATGGTGCATATTTCCCCCTTCATCACATTTCCAGTCTGCTCTCTTGGAAAACCCCCGTGCTCTTGTGTTTGGAAAACAATTTCTTCCCATTCCACCTTTCCTGCTATTACAAACTATTCCCTTTTCTAAGCTAAAAAGACCTAGCTATGAAAGTATTCCCTCTAAATGGAAGAACCTCTATGACCTCTACAGGCCACTCATGCTTGGTTCCTTTTTCCAGCACAATCTCCACTCCCATCATAAAGACAGCTGCAGTTATTCACATTCTTGCTATACTCTTTTATTTTTGCATTTAGGCCCTTCGCGACCTTTCTCTCTAAGTTACATGAAGAGAGAGATGTTCTTCGAGAAAAACCAACTCATGTTTTCCTTGTCCCAATAGGTAAACTGGACTATCCAGTTTATAGATAGCTCAGTAGTGCAGGTTATCTGGCCACAGGGCCAGAGGTTGAGAGTTCAATTCCCCACTGAGCCTTCCTGATAGGGGCCAGACTCGATAATCCATAGGGATCATCAAGTCTAGCTCTACAGTTGTAATTGTTTTCGTTATTACTCTAAGAGCAGAACTACTATCACACAAACTCATTTCCCCTCTCCTGTTCCACATATATATAAGTAGGCTGACAGAGGACCTTGATTGTACCTGGAGCTGATGTGTAACAAAGAGAACCGTCTTTGACTTCAGGTGCTTCCGTATTGCACTGTTGAAGATGTGGTTTCCGACATGAGCGTCCAAGGCACTGAGAGGGTCGTCAAGGATGTAAATATGCTTGTCGCTGTACAGAGCTCGAGCAAGACTGATCCTCTGGCGCTGCCCCCCACTCAGGTTGGCACCTCGCTCACCAATCTATATTGAATATGCTCAATTAAAACATTTCTTTTTGTACCACTGAAGGCAAGACATGGGGCCTTATTTGCTACCCATGTGTTTTCTGATTCCCCTCAAAAGCTCAGAACAATATTTTAAGCTACACAACAGGACTGAGAGATGGGTATGTCATTTTTTATTCAGTCCAGTATAGGTCTAATCAGCGAGCTTTATGAATAAGCAGGACTTTAAAATAGGTTTCCTACATTCAGACTGGACAATCTAAGCCGAGGAAACTGTCCTAGTGTCCTACAATGATTAAGTTGTTCTAGTGTCCTACAATGATTTGGGGCACAGCAATGAACTGTAACATAAAATTAACTGAAACTTCTTAAAATTTTGAAGTGCCATCCAGTTTGTAAGAGAAGCAACTATTTATTTAAAAGCAGTAATTACAATCAAAAAGATCTGAAGAGCCAGTAGGTTCATAAGCGTCATTTCAAGAGAGAGGTTTTACTAAAGGCACCATTTACCACCACTGTCTATTTATATGGGGTTTTGTTTTCTTTATTTTTATTTTGTCTTAGCCTTATACAGGCAGATGTCAGGTATGTGAGTCATAGGTATCAGAAATTTAATACTTAGAGCAATACATGTGCCTGAGCTGTGACCAGAATGGAGCCTGATCACTGATCACTACACATTATTATGAGATCCATAACGAACTTTATCAGTAAAATATGACCAGATGAACAACTTGTGGAGCAGTGGTTAAACCGCTGTACTGCAGCTAAAACTGTGCTCACGACCTGGGGTTCAAATCCCAGGTAGCCGGCTCAAGGTTGACTCAGCCTTCTATCCTTCCGAGGTCGGTAAAATGAGTACCTAGCTTGCTGGGGGGGGGGGCAATGTGTAGCCTGCATAATTAAACTGTAAACCGCCCAGAGAGTGCTTGAAGCGCTATGGGGCGGTATATAAGCAGCACGCTTTGGTTTTGTTTTGCTTTTATTTTTTAAGAGTCTGATACGAAACTTAGGACACTACAAAATTTAAGAAAGTTTTTCACATGTAAGAGAAAAGCTTCACCAGTTCTAAAACATGTCCGGCCCTTATCGTTCTGCATATGTTTATTTTTTATTTATTTATTCACTTAAAATATTTTTGCCCTGCCTTTCTCCTTAAAAGGACCCCAGGTGGCCTACATAATAAAAAAGACAATCTTTCAAAGTGAAAAACAATTATGCCAATATTTAAAAAGAATTAAACAACTATTATATTAAAACAGTAAATAAAATCAGTAATATAAACACATCGAAAACAACAGAGCACAACAATCAACTTAAAAAACTCCTCTCAGGCTTCCAGACTATTAAAATGATCCTTTCAGAATACTGAAACAATCCTCTCAAAAAAGAGTCTTACCTCTGTCAGGTCCCCATTAGGTAATATCGCCAAATCAGGTCTGAGACAGCAGTCATTTAACACAGTGTTGTATCTGGAGAGGAAATGTAAAGGCAGTCAACAATAGCAGCAATCCCTGGTGTTAAATTCAAAGGAACAATAACTCCTTTGTATTATTTCAACCATCCATGGGAAATGGGACTTATCTAATTGAATAAATAAAATTCAAACACACGTTACATTCATGTGTCCTTTTTAAAGGACAGGTGTTCAGTCCCAGATAGAACTATGACTGCAGTAGATAAATTACAGCTACTGCTTGCTTGAAGTGTTTACATACCATAGACGTCATAAGCACAACAATGGACGTCAATGAAGGTTATCTGAAAAATGAGTAGCGAGCTAATATACTGCCACTGGGCATTTATTGGCCAGGTTGCTACAAATGTTGAGCCACAGTTTAGTAAGGCATGCATGAATCTCTCTGAGACTAAGCCCAGCCTCTGACTAAGCACAGCCTTCTCTTCCCACTCCTCCTGTGTGAGACAAGGTGGTCTCCTTCCAATTTCCAAAACTCCTAGTTTGTACATATGAAACAAATTACTGTTGGGGGAGAAAAACAGGCTCTGCTTTTCAAGCAGACCCACAAAACAATCTAAGAATTGCTTAGCAACTAACTGGAGTTTGTGTTAAACTTTCGTTCTTGCAATAAGCCAGGAATCAAAGCAAGCAAAGGGAAATCCTGGTTAAGACATCCTGGCAGCGACAGGAATAGAGGAGATGGGAGAGAATGGCTGTCTTGACATAACCCCATCATCTTTTAATCTTTCCACCAAACACAAGTAAGCAATCCAAGTTGGTACAGAACGGCTTATATTAAGCATGCAGTGGCAGTATCAAAATAGCCTGCATGAAGTAGCTTTACTTGCTTACACGGAAGAAGGGAGCATTAGCAACAAGCTGTTACATAACAAAAGCCTACAAACCTTTCTTCCTCAAACTCCTTTCCAAAGAGGATATTGTCCCTGAGTGTGGCATTGAGAATCCACGCCTGTTGGGCCACATAGGCAAAGGTTCCGTCTACAGCTACGCTGCCCTCCAGTAGAGTCATCTAGAACAAAGAGCCGGAAATCTCCAAATTGAAGGCACACCAGAAAACACCCTTCCTGCTTCCCGGCCGCACTTCCTCACATTAAACTCCAAAATAAAAATCCAATCACACGTTTGGAAATCAACATTCACTGTCACTTCAGGAATTTTATTCCATTTTATAATTCAAGTCTGATAAATTGTTTATCTTGTGGATTTGCAACCCCCTGAGCCAGATACACTTCCTTGCCAAGAAGGCTCATAAGTGGAAGGCAAAGAACATGAGCCAAAGTGATGAGAACGAAGACGCTAAAGTGATGCTCTCACCTGTCCTAAAATTGCGGAAATGAGTGAGGTTTTCCCACTCCCCACGCTGCCACAAATGCCGACCAGTTTCCCCTTTATGAGAAAGAAAGACACGGTATTGGGTAAGGAATCAGTCCTTCACACCAGGAAAGCACAATACTTATACAGTTCAAATGTTTACTAAATTCATGAAAAACAAGCATAGGGAATAAAAAGAACCACTAGACTGTATTTGACAATAGGAAGATGGGGGCGGGGGGGATTCACACTACTGTGATTTAAAGGTAGCCCTCAAACGTAAACCCTTTTTTGCTTAGGCCAACCACTTTGGTGGTCGGTTAGTCACACCTCCTGCATCAAACTAGCAAAGTTTCCAGTTCTGAAGCAGAAAAGCAGTCTCAGGCTAGCTGTACAACCTTATGCAAGTGATTTGGAACAAGTTCCCTGACTTTAATGAGATTTACTCCCAGGAAAGATTGTTACTTAAGATAGGAAAAGGAGTCACTTTAACCTTTCCCTTATTACATGGGGGGAGCTAAAGCCCATTGTAATCCTACGTACAGGAACATCACCTGTTTGTTGGGGAGCTGCAGCAAACTACAGCTCTCCAATAGCAAGCTTATCATGCTTTTTTCCCAGAGGTTAAAGATACTTCATTTGTGAATGGGCTGAGCACCAAAACAGCATCGCAAGGGTGCAAAATACCCACATTATTCTTTGCAACTCCAAGACAAACACAGCATTCTATTATTTTAGGAATTTTTTTGATCCCCCCCCCAAAAAAAAGGTTTTGCCTCCTCACCTTTTCAATGTCCAGGTCAACATTATAAAGAACTCTCTGAAGCCGGACGTTCATCAGCTGTGCTTGCTTGTTCTCCTCCTCAGGGCTTGGTGGGTCATCACTGTCCACTAAGAGGTGGCCCTTCTGCTCGGCAAGCATCGCCTGTTGTCTCTCCTGCTGCTGCAGCTTCTTCTCCTTCCTGCTCCTGGCCATCTTGTCTTTTTTCATTTTAGGGGTCATCTTGGGTGAGCTCTGGACACTGGCATGGGAGGATTCCCAAGCCAGGGTGGCATTTTTCACTTCTATGGCTGTGTGAGGACTGGCTGGTTTTTTCTTTACCATATGAACCTCTTCCATTAGAAACAAACTCTGATAGGAGTTGTGAGAGAGGTGCAAAGATGAGACACCTGGTCAAGACTGAGGGAGGGACACAAGCCTAGGGCACACTCACGCAGCAAAACACATCAGGCTATACAATGGGAGGAAGCTGAAGAGCAAAAGGTAGCTCATTAGTGAAAACTAACACCAGATCCATCAAAGGGCCTGGCAATCCATGAATGTGGTGGTTCCCTGACAGAGAGACTTCTGAAAGCTACAGAACTCCAGATACCAATTTGGTTACAGAATATTGTCATGTTCAATGTGGTCTGCCCACCTATTTCTTGTACTTCAGGCTTCTGAGGAAGATACAAGACAAGATGAGGAAGTGGAAGAAATATCTGCTCATTAAAAATATCATGAGGCTTAAAAGGACAGACGTGTTCCCTAGCATGTGCCCACTAAAATTCCCAGCACCAAATTCAGTACTCTTAAGAATCTGACAATTTATGATCAAGTCTGGAGGCAACAGATCACTGTTAATAAACAGAGGCTCTATATCAAGTTTTCCACCACATTCATCTGTGCAAAAACATCATCAGAAGGTTACACAAGGAAAAAAAAAGTTTCCAGTCAGTACAGCCTCCATTTCCAATAAAGAATCTCCTTCCCTTCTCAGTTCTTATCACAGACACAGTTTTGGGATTTGCCAGAAAATACTACACAGATCAGCAGGCTGAAAGGCAACATCTCAGAATTTTTCAAATTTTTTCGTCTTTCACCACAAGGGAAGACAAAGCCTAAGTGAGAAGCCGCATGGGGGCCCCCTTCTAGGCCCTCTCAGATACTTCAAGACCCCATGCTTTGAAAACAAAGCAAAAAATGCTATTAAGATAGCAACATGAAATGTCAAAAGACTCTGGAAGCATAACTAGCCACTGTGGCCATGTATGTGCTGACCTTGTTGGGAGGGCCAAACCTGCAAGTAACCAGATATCAGATCCAATTATTAATAAGGACTCACTGGCCCCAAAATACAGTGGACCCTCGACTTACAGACGGCTCAACTTACAGACTTTTCGAGTTACAGACTTCTCTGGCTGCAATATTTAGGTTCGACTTACAGCCGGAGAATCGACTTACAGACCAGAAAAAAAAGCCAAAATGGAGCAAAAACAGAACAATAACGGCCAGTTACAGATTAATCGGTTTTCAATGCATTGTAGCTCAATGGAGACTCGACCTACAGACTTTTCGACCTGCAGCCAACATTCCAATATGGATTAATTCCATAAGTCGAGGGTCCACTGTAGAGCCAGGAGGCTGAACATGGGCCTCAATGGCCAATCCTACCCCTTAAATGATTCTGACAATGAATATGGCCATGGAGGGGAAGGTATATGTGGGGGGGTATATCTTCAGTATTTTAAAATGAGTTTGCTGCCCTATGAGATAGCGAGTGGCTCAAATAGCCCCAAATGAGGGATTCTCAGAATTTAATTCTACAAATGTTTCAGATTTCTAATTCCAGCATGCCTGAGTAATTTCATGCTGGCTAAGTTGTAGCACAAGCCATGGTTGAAGCACAAAACATCTGGAGAGCTAAAGGTTGAGAACCACTGGCCTGACTGACCTGGCTGGCCTATAGAATCCCTGCAAGACCTTGCAGGCCCAAAGGCAATTCAGTATTCAAATGACATTATCAAATGATTTTTATCTACCTGCAGCCCTACATAGGTAATTCTGGGGACAACCCCATACTGAACTTCAGCTAATCTGGGGCCTGTAAAAGGAGAGCCATGTATACCATGAAGCCGAAGAGACAAACAGGAAAGAAGGAATCGACTAAGTTCTCAAGCGTATGATCTTCCCGGCCGAGACCTGAGAAGCTCTCTCAACTCACATGCCACCTGATGAAGCCCAGCAGCTTGAGCAGCTCTTAGCATGAATGAGCCATGCACTCTAGAATATGCCACAGAAATCATCTTCGAGTCATAGGTGTTATACAAAGAGTTCCCTGAAGTCTGAAATCTTTGTGACTGTCATGGAGCCCTCTTTATGGCTTTGTCTGGAATCTACAGGATTACGCATGGGTCCTGCACTGCCCTGCTTTCATGTTGGTTAGGCTCATGCTTCACAGGACCTATACCCATTTTTACCTGGATGGCAATGTGACTGAATAATGGGAGTGAACACATTTCAGCTGCTGCAAGTTAATCTATTATGGCCAAGTGGGCCCCTCAAGAGGCAAAAGGTGCAAACGGCACTCACTTTCAAGCATCTACCTCACCAAAGGTAAGCAGAACAAGATGATGGAAACTCACCTTGAATCTGTCAACGGCAACAGACGCTTCAGACAGAGACTTCACGGAAAAGGGTGTGACTTTCAGAGCAAAGGTCATTGAATTGAACACTGTAACCACTGTAAAGGCCTGTAACAGAAATTGGAAGAGTTATTTGTTTGCCTTTTTTATACCGCAGCGTCTACTCCCAGTATTCACATACCCATAAGAATTAAGAGCTAGACAGCAGCAGCTGCTGAAAAAATGTCTTCAAGTGAAAACCTGTGGATTGCATGTGCTACCGGGACCAGAGAGAATGGACAAAGGAAAAAGAAGTTTAGGGAGAGTTGGGGTGGGAAATGCAGCAAACAATTAACCTGTTGATGTGCTAACAGTATCAGAGACAAGGAACTATGAATTTTTATTTATTTACCAGATTTTTTTAGCCGTGCCATTACCAATTGTCTCTGAGCGGCATACAACATCAAAACTTTAAAAACATTTAAACCATTAGAAATAGGCAATATTATAATAATATCCTATATTAAAAAGTCATTAAAACATTAATATTAATAGATCCTGCTGCTCATATGGCCAGCTAAAGGGTACTATTTAATTAAAATGCTGGCTAAACAGAAAGGTCTTTGCTTGGCGCTGAAAAGCCAAAAGTGTTGGATCCAGGCGGATCTCTATAGGGAGGGCGTTCCAAAGTTGAGGAGCAACAGCTGAGAAGGCCCTATTTCGATATGCCACCCCTCTCACCTCTTTCAGGGATTGCACCTTCAGAAGGGCCTCCTGGCCTGATCTTAGAGGACAGGCAGACTCGTATGGAAGAAGGCGGTCGTTTAGGTAACCAGGTCCTAAGCTGTTTAGGGCTTAATATGTCAAAGTAAGCACTTTGAATTGGGCCCAAGCAGCAACCGGCAGCCAGTGTAAATTTTTCAGAACTGGCATGTTATGAGTCCATGCGGCAACACCACTTACCAGCCGCGCAGCCCGGTTCTGTTCCAGTTGCAGTCACTGGACCGTCTTCAAAGGCTGCCCCACATAGAGTGCATTGCAACAGTCCAGTCTGGTTGTTACCAGTGCATGTGTGACTGTTGCCATGCTCATCCAGGTGAGGGTGAAGTTGATAAAATCGCAGCTGTAAGAAGGCACCCCTGGACACCAAGTCCACCTGGGCTTCCAAGGTCAGACCCGGGTCAAGGAGCACCCCCAAGCTGCAGACCCTGTCCTTTAGGGGGAGTGTAATCCTGTCTAAGGCAGGGAAATGGCTCTTTAACCTATCTGGTGGAGCACCTCCCAGCAGCACTCCTGAATTGTCTGGATTGAGCCTCATATATTGACCCTCATCCAGTCCATTATTGAGTCCAGGAGTTCACAGCGGCGACTGCCACACCTGGATTGGTGGAAAACGAGAGGTAGAGCTGAGTGTCGTCAGCATATTGCTGACTCCTCAGTCCAAACCTCCTAATGACCTCCTCCAGCGGTTTCATGTAGATGTTAAACAGCACGGGGGACAGTATAGAGCCCTGAGGAATCCCATGACATAACCGCCATGGATCAGAGCTACTGTCCCCCAGCACCACCTTCTGGACCCGATCAGCCAGGTAGGAGCGGAACCACCACAAAACGGTGCCTCCCACTCCCAACCCAGCCAGCCTATCCAGAAGGACACCATGGTTGGTGGTGTCGAAAGCCGCTGAGAGGTCCAATAGTATCAATAGGGTCACACTGCCCCTGTCTCTCTCCTGGCAAAGGTCGTCAAACAGGGCGACCAAGGCAGTCTCCGTTCTATAACCCAGCCTGAAACCCAACTGACATGGATCTAGATAACTAATAGCAGAGAAAAAGGCCGCAGCTGCATTAACACCCTCCTAACCATAATTTGGGACTAACAATCAGCCTTAAAGTGGACCACTGTATTTTTCATAATATCTGCATGCACCAACATGATTGTGTTTGCTTGTTTTTTGTTTCTTGCTTTTGTTTTTTGGAAGAAGAAGACAGTACATTCTTTCATCACAAGAATAAAGCAGCAGGAAATTCAACTGCTTACCGAATTACATTTTTGCCAGCCAAGATGAGTCCCAATCCTATTTGCCTTCAAACTTTATACTGCATGAATGAAATGCCACAGGCAGGAATGTATGTATTTGCTTTCTAGTTTGTTCTCAAATCCTGGACGGCAAAACCTATAAGCTGAATCCCTCTTGAAAACTGTATATTAAAACAACAGGCTTCTATACAAGGAGTTTGCATAGGGAAGACAGCATCCGTTTTCCTTCCCATCTGTCACAATCTGAACAGGAAAATTTATTTATTTATTTAAAATATTTTTACCCAACCTTTCTCCTTTAAAAAGGACCCAAGGTCGCTTACATCACTAAAATACAGTATTTAATAATCAAAAGCCTCTCAGTGTACCTGCTATGTCTTACCATAGCAGATTTATTTTCAGTTTCAGATTATCAATTATTTCTCAGTTTCACCGTTCATAATCAGTCATGAAACCTATGCTAGGGCCAAAGGCTGCCAGTTGTTAACCTGGAATCTTACTGTCATGGTCTTTTCATGGCATAGGCAACTCATGTGAATATCTAAATTCTAAGACCATTTTGGAACAAAAAAAAAAAACCAATAAAAATCCAGACCTGCAGAAGGTCTTTTCCCATATGTGAAGTTAATAAAACACCTACTTTCACGACGCATTACCTGAACTGCTGTGAGGTCATAGCCAAGGATCATATGGACAGAGAACGTCACCACACTGGCAATAACCACAACTATGGGAGCCACTCCTACAGTGATACTCTGGAAATATCCAGCACGCTCCAAGATCTTGCGTTCCTCTTCTCTAATGTCTGCAAGTACAGAGAGCACAACTCCTACATGTCAAGCTTTAAGAAGCACGTTTGTGAAAATCAGTAATTATAGAACAGAAACCTCTTGGAAAAAAGCACATGGAGAACAGTTGTTGCAAAAGAAATCTTGTTACTTTTGCCACACTGCCCATCACAACCGGTTGTGAAATTGATCCCACAAACAGTCCTCCAAGGAGGGGAGGTCTGCTTGCAAAATGACTGCACCACTTGCATATTTTCCAAATAAGAATCCGAACTACAGATTCATTATTCACAGCATCACCTATACCTTCAAAAACCAAACTGCAGAGAAGAACAAGTACAACTACTTAAATGACAACGACCTGTTATAATTTACATCAAAGACAAGGAATGTAGCTGTATTTTCCGTTTGAAATCATTACTACTGAGTAGATCATTTTAATATTAGCCCTCCCAGGTAAGAAAGTTAGAACAGTTGTCTTTTACATTAGGATCAGTCACATATGTGTAGTAAGCTAAGGCAAGCCTCGTTTCATATTTGACATTAGCCAAAGTGGAATATTGGCTGTACAGTTTCTCTTTACTGCCTGATCCCGTGAGAAGACATGACATGAAAATACAGGCATCAGGGAATAATAAAGAAAACTGACACTCACTCTGAACATTCTGAGAAAAGGCTTTGACCCAGGCATACATTTTAATGAACTTAATATAGTTCAGAACTTCATTCATTTTCTGTACACGCTCGTCAGTTGCGGCGACACATTTCCTTCTGAAATAAGCTGTGCAGCGGGATGCAAACATCTGAAACAAAACGAGGCATCGTAAAAGAGAACTGCCACAGGATCATCTTGGTCAATGAAGAGAGAAAAAATTAAAGCCCTTGTATTTCCTGAGTTTGTAAACATTTAAAAATTATTCTAACAATGCAAGCTAATATACTGTTTCTCGGAGGCAAGTCCACTATATTTGGTGTTCAGACTGAACCCTTGTCAATTCAGATCTACCAAAAATGATAGGCCAGCATTGCCACTTCTTCTTCTACCTTATATTCTAAACACATGCCTTCATAATCATGCTCCTCTTTTAAAAAAATAATCAAGAAAAGTGCACCCCCTCGCAATGAACAGCAACACTGTGTTCTCTCCTGATACTCTGATGGAAAATGAGAAGCAGAACCTCTAAACCAACATTAGAGTAGCATAAGGCAACTGCTGGATAGCTAATTGGTTTAGGCGTCTTGACAGGGGCTTAAATGAATGATCCACAGGACCCCTTCCACCTCTGCAATCCTAAAATGATTATCATTATCATAAAGAAAGGAGATGCACCATTCACTATTTTTCTGGTGGAACACTTTGTCTTTGCACTATTCTCAGTGTATACATCTTGAGATCATTTTAAATACATCAAGTGTCAGGTCAACTATCCCCAACCTGTAAAAACATTAGGTAATAAAGTCACAGCTTATTCTACTTGACTTCCCTGTAACATTCTTCTCATTCTTTAGAAGAATGGCAGCATTCATTTGCAGTTTTTTTTTTTACACTGACAGTGATCTACTCACCATGGCTGGGTAGAAAAGGATAAACACTGCCGATCCCAGGAAGCCTGTTGGTCCCAGAATAATAACACTGTAAACCATTCCAAGGATAGCAACAAGAGGACCTCCAGCCAATAAGCTACCCACAGCTGCAGCTTCATACATTCTCTGTCCATCGTTCGAACATACATTTATGAGCTGCAATAAATAAAGGACACATGAAAAATCTCTATAGTCAAAAGACAATTTTAAAAATTCTCAGAAAATTTCTTTTATTTCATATTATTAAATAGATGTTTTGAGAAAAAGCAAGTGTGACTAATTAAAACAAATTCAGTAATGTAATAGACAATTCATTACAATCAACAAAGGCTAGCAGCAGAAGAAAGAAGCAATTAAAAAAACTGACTGCATTAAAAGATCTTCACCTATAGAAAGGTGAAAAATGAAGATGCTCAAAATTTTCCCAGCAGGGATTGCCACAGTTGCTGAAAACCCAGTTATATATAACCAGGACAGGTTCTCTGAAACTAAAAGGAGGAGTTGAGCTGGTGCAGTGTTGGAAGATGGTCCCAATAAGATTAAGTGGGCATTCCAAAGGACACTTTCGAATAAGTACAACTGGGCTTGTTTGTGGGTTGGGTTTCTTGTTTTCGGTTTGGTTTGGTTTGGTTAGCCTCTCTGATTTTGTGATATTTACCAACTGCACAGCACACAGAGACAGTGGAAAGGCCTACCCCGACTCATAATTACAGGATTCTGGATAAAAAATGTCATTATAGTACCAGCTACAAGCCATGCATGCTAGATTCAAACAGAGCATTTTACTAAGAGGATATGTGGGTCCCCACCCCACTTCCCCCAGATCGTTTCACCACAGTGACCACAAGATGCAGCTCATCTTACCTCTCCCAAAGACTTCTCCTTTATATTTTTCAGCTTCAGTATTTTCTTAAAAACCATGGTAAGGACAGCACCACGCAGTCTGACCCCAGTGCGGTAATTTAATGCCCAGGTTAAAGCCAGGGACCAGGAACGCACTATTTCAGTCATGAAGAGACCAAATACCAACAATAGGCTGTACTGTAGGTTGGGCTCTGTTTGCTGTGTGTATTCAAGGAGGTGTTTCACAACAAAAGCCTACAGGAAGAAATGCAAACCTGCGTCAACACCCCAACATGCCAGAGAAACCATTCCATCATTTCATGTTAAGTTAGAAATAAGGAGCTCTTTTATTTCCAGTAAATAATTTGTCTGGTTAATAGGGAAGTCTTTAGACAAATAAGAACTGCCAGCTGTTTTGTAACACCTGCTGAAATCAAGCAGAAAATCAAATTGACTAAGTATGGGGAATGAATTTGGAACTTCCCAATTTGGTCCACCAAACTGCTGCTCCTTCACATTGTCTGACTTAACACAAACCTGACAGTTAGCCGAAGCAATCCGTTATCATCGTATACTTTACAAAAATCTGTACTTAGGCAAACACTGAACCTGTTAAAAAGATTTACTCCTTTACATGACATTAAGACCTGTTTATTCTTGGTTTCAAACGTGCTTATTTGATAAAAAGGAACAAATGTACCTACAGTTGAACTGGGGAAGAGTGTGAGAAGGACATTTTGCAAAACATTCCTGAAAATAAACATCAGCAGTTTAATAGTAAAGAAGAAGACAAGCGGCAAAAAAAGGGGGGAATCAAAGAAAAAAGAAGAAGGGGGGAAAAAAAGGGCAAAGGCGATACCATCAATTAAAAAGAAGACAACCCTTCACCCTTACCTCCCTGGCCCCCACCCCACCCCCAAAAGACAAAAACAAGGTTACCTCGAAATCACATTTGAAACACCACCTGCAGAAAGAGAAAAACAGCTCCAAACCCACAAATCCCTCATCACGGGTCATGTCAAAATGTACAGAACAGTACTTCCAACTTGTATTCATCAGCAATATTAAATACTAATAAATAGAAAGCAGTATCTTTTTTTATTATTATTATTTAAAGAAAAGCACCACCATGTCAGAATGAATAACATCTCACAGACACTTACAAAAAAAAAAGAAAAAGTTTTGTGGAACACATACAATCTATATGTGCAAGAAAAAAGTTATACAAGACCTGAATCCAACATACAGTCTGGCTTCCAACACAAAATCAAGTTAAACTTCACATACACACAAAAAGTAAATCATACAGGAAAAAGCAGGACCAATATTGGTCGTTCACAACGTCCGGGGAAGCTTGATATTTGCACGGCTAGTCAGGAAGACTTCCAAGACCCAGGGGCGTTTCTCACATTTGGCTTAAGAGAGCTTTGCTACAGTAAGGCTTTCCAGCGGGGCTTTTCCGACATCGATGCCTAGAGATCCTGTTCTTTAAGCAGAGCTCAGAAGCAGCTTTGCCCACCACAACATTCTGAAACCAAGGAAGAGTTTTGGAAGGCTTTCAGAGTACATGGGAAGTCCCCTTGACTAAAAACAGGAGATCGGAGTTCTGTGCAACGCAAGAACGGATGGAAAACAAAAGCACACGGCTTCAAGCAAAGGTAGCAGCTGCTCAATCGAACAGATTAAAAATGAAGGTAGAACAAACGTGTAAATCCTGAAATGGTGAATTCTGAAAGCCACAACTGAGACCTGAGCTGTACAGCATGTCTCTCATGAGTTTTCACGCGCATGTTATGAGCCAATTGTCCATCATGTTCCCAAACAGCATTGAAAAAGAGAGAAGTGAATCTTAGGCAGCTTCCTGATCAAAGTGCAACAGCTCATGTTCCAGCATCACACTGTGCCAGCTTTTTCCTCCACTGGGTTTCTTTCAAATTTTTGGTAGTTGCGGCATTAACAGCTACACAGCGGATTTGCTGTTGTTTAAGACGTTTGGCTTCTTTTCTAACATCCAATCCAACAAAGGCAACTGAGTCACTGAAAGGATCAACAATCCTTTCATGTTTTCCATTCATAAGCCAACGGGCTGACAAGAGCTACCGTTCGTTTTCTCATACACCACAGTAAAGAAGGAAAAGTCTCCAGGATATGTAGGCAACACCAGCCAGAATTCTCTTCTCTCCTAATAATTTAGAGTAACCTTTTTGGGGACACAGAATCTGTGGTCCCCCAAAAGAACAACAGATGTTGCTCATTCTTTTTTTCTTTTTCTCTTTCTTTCTTTTTTTTTTGAGACTTGAAAAAAAGTAGTTTTAGAAATATTAAAGGAAAAAGAAACAGACAACATTTGCAATCTTAACATATCACATTTGGTTAGAGTCAGAAGAAAAACACCAGATATAACATTTAATTTTTAAAAACAATAGTTACCAAAAACTAGTAGGAGCATAGAAAAAATATTCCTTGGATTATCACGGTAGTAGGTATCCTTAACTTCCTGGCTGTCTTAAGCATTCCCATTGAATAAATGTCACCTTACCTTTCATCTTGGAGTAGGATTCTGCCCAGCTTGACTGTCTCATTCTGATCGCAGAATACAGCCATCCTGGAAATTCTAAAGAACAGCTTCTGTCATTGGTTTCACTACAGAGAAAGATTCCCCCAAACCACATCCAGTGTTTTACAGCACAAAGCAAGCTGTCACTGGAGCGGACCTGGAAGAGCAGGAGGCTCACTTCAGTGGGCTCCTCCATCCAACCCCCCACTGCCCACAGCCCACCATAACGTCTTCAGAAACTAAATGAAAACTCATATTGCCATGTTTTGCAGTAATAACGCTTACTAGTCTTCCAACCAAAGCCACTTCTGAGCTGGTGGATGTGCCTCGTCATCCATGACCAGATTTGAGAACACTGGCGGGACACAGCCACAAGTCTTTGCTCCAAAATGAACGTGGAATGTTTAGTAGCCATCTCTATAGAAAGTATTCCCACTTTACTTTCTGAATCCGAAAGGATATTAGAAAAATGTACGCTGTCTCAACTCAAGGAAGGGCAAACACGAGTTTGAAAAGAGCGCCAGAAATGAATTTCAGAAAATACCTCCTTTCAAGAACGGATTGGAAGTTTGGATCTATAAGAAGCTTACAAACAAGGATTACCTGAATTGTCAGCCAGAATTAGCACAAGGAATTTCAACAATCACATTTCCCCCTAAAGAAGCATAAGATGAGAATGGCAGTTTGCAGAAAAGTTTCAAATTTACTCATCAGGACAAAAAGTCAAAATAGTCTCTTCGTAGCTACCATTTCTATGTGGGGGAAAAAGGGTTTCGATTTAAAAAAAATAAACACATTGATGTTTCAACAGAGACAGCATTTAAGCTTCAAAGTAAAAGGGAACAGGATGATAAAGAACTCCTTTTCCTCCAAGTGATGAACACCAGTAGGTTTGTTTTTTTCCATTCAGATAACAAGGATTACTGGACAGTGAAGGATGTAGACAGGTTGCACATCCCAATCTAAACTGTGTTCTGTTCAGTTCCCTCCTGATTTGTAAATTTGATCTGTCTGCTTCCAATTGAGTCAGGCTAAAGACAGAGACAACTTGGCTGCCCACTCTCTGGTAGAGGTTAGGAGCATCCACAGGCCCTGTAGTGAAACAATGACAGAAGCTTTTCTTGGGGGAAGCTGGTTCTGTTAAAACCTCATCTTACTGGCAATTAAAAGCACATCCAGTAAAACCTCTTACAAGCATTTTAATATTCATCACAAGCTATTAACAATACCCCAAGCAAAACTATTTAGTCCCTTCTTAACAAAGGAAATGAAGAAAACATGTGCAATTTAAGGAAATGGGTGGGATTAGGGGATATTTTTTTAAAAAGACAAAAGACAAGACTGTTTTTTAACATTAACCTCAGCTGTACTTACCCAAGCACTGAATCATCCCGCTTAACAGCGCATTGAAATGTGCACTAAGAGCAATAACACTGCTGCTACTCCTCAAGGGAAATTTGCAGAGAATAGATTTAGTCAAGATGTCAAAGGAAAAAAAAACCTTGCACCGCACGTGCAACAAACAGGTGACAAGAAAATGGTGTGAATGTCAAGTCCTACATGCCGCCCTCTTGTTACCAACTAGAAGCAGCAGGCAACATCCTTCCACTCATGGCACCAGAAGGGAGATCTATCCAACCAAGCCGGACACTAGTTCTGCAGAATTCCTCTGAGCCCTGTTCCCTGGGAATGTTATAAGCTGATCTAGCAGCACTCTCTTCCATTTCTTGCAGAGAAACCCAAAGAAAGGGACCTACACAGATCGACTTTGCTGTTAGGTTACTGGTCTCTGCTCTGAAAATGTAAGCCCTCTCCCCTAACAAGGCACCTGGTTACAAGCAGTAGAACACACCACAAATGAAAGGAACACAGTCTGAAAACCCCAGCATTCTGAAAGGGCTATTTCTTCTATATAAACTGAAAGGCAGCATTCTAGCTAATCAGAATGCTTAGGAGATCCTCTGTAATGGAACTTGAACAAATTAGCACTGGCCATGGGATCAAGCCCATTCTAGATGGCAGACAAAGGATGGATAGTACTTACTGGTCCACTGAAGCCAGCAAGTTGTGTGACCATCAAGCACACTATGGAAATGATGACTCTGGTGCGACAGAACACCCACACAACCCTTCGGAGAGAGGCATCATCAGGCCCCTGTTCATGCAGTTCTTGATGCCACAACCTTTCTAGCCTGCAACATTAAAAGAAACAACTCTAATGATCTTTCTATCAACAAAGACAGAAAAAAAACTGTTTTTAAAAATAGCAATTCAATTATTTCTTTAAAAACAGATTTATTAAATGAAAATAATAAATACTAGTCATGGTTACAAGAATAACTAGGTTAGTAATAAATAACAAGTGATTTGGCCCTATAGGTAGTCTCTAAATAGAATCAGGAAAGGATGGGTGATACTTTTATTAGACCACTAAAATCTCACAAACAGAAGCTAACTTTTTGACAGCCAAAGACTTCACCAGGCTAGGTATTACGGAGCTGGGGGAGGGCGAGAAAAAAACAAACATTCCAAAACCCAAAGCCAAGTTCTAAAATGGATGTTACGCATCTGCTCAGAGGTAGAAGGTTTCAGTTTTCACCTCTGATAGGGTGGATCAGAAAGCTTACTCTGAACTTGCTGGACAAAGAAATGCCAGTGGATAAATTTGAATTAAACTCAACCAATTAAGCTGAATTGACTTAAATCTTTCCACCTGATTTTTCACTACCTTATACATCACATAATCTACCTTATATAAAATCTAATAATTTTGTGCAGAGAAAGGTAGATAAAGCAAGATCTCCAATAATGGAGCCTTTAACAAGCAAAAAATGTGAATGATGTCCAATTCATTTATGAACGCAAGAAGGAAGAAAAGAAATATATACATGAGACAGCAACAGACAAGATTTTGGAAAGGCCTTCAACCAACATCTCACATAACATTTCACAGCAGGCTCTGCTAAGTACTGGCTATCTGGAACAGGAACCTCTGAAAGACAATATAGAAAACCTTTACCTTTTAACAAAGCAAGCAATGGCCACCAGCATGAACTCTGAAACCTATATCTCTGACTTGTGTCTACACCCTGCACTTTGCAACATACTTTTTACTTTTTAAAAAAGAGACCTGGTACAGACATCTGCCAGGACTTTTGGAACTTCCATATGTTTTTTTCCTCCACCATCCACAATATATGGAAGCACAGCGTGATGAAAACTGGCATAGATCAAAAGCTTGAAAGGGTGTTTTGGTGGTGGTCTAATAAAGGTATCACCTACCCCTGCTTTTGTATTGGATAAGGCCCACGTGACTTTATTTGCTTTTTCTTACCTTCGACAGTTAACTTCTGAAGACTCATGAGTTGACAAAGGCCAGACATCTTCCGTCCCTAGTTCTCCTTTTTTGTAGGCTATTCGTGCCAAAGGAGTGAGCCACGAAAAGGTCATATAGGAGAAAAATCCAGCATTATCAATTGGATGTGGATGCCTACAAATAACAAAGAGATTAAAGGCAAGTGAAGAACAAGAAGAGGGGGGAAATTACAGTACTATAAAGCAAAATTAATTTTATTAGCTTAGATTTCAGATGTTATTTTCCTTAGCAAGCACAATTTTTTTAGGAAAAGCGGAATTTTTCCAACAATCACGCATCTTGTTATTCTCGTTTTCTGAACAGTTGCATCCGTAGCTCATTAACATAAAATCTTACTTGGAAGTCATCCGGAAGGGTTTCATCAAGTTCCAGCCATGGTGATATTTCCCTTTGGGATGGCTTTCATCCAACACTTTCAAGTGAAAACTTGTCAAGCCATCTAATGGAAGGCCTTCTGCCCGAGCAGCTGTTTCCAGTGCATCTTGGCATTCTACCTGCTGGATTGAAAACAGAGTAAAAATATTAATCATACCATACATTGGGCTTAGAAAGCTATAATTTCAGTCTTAGTTGTACCATGTGATTTGCAACCACTAGTGGTAAAACTACTGTAAGTTCCTGCAAGCTTATGAGCAGGAGGAAATGAATAAAGAAAGTGAAAAGGGTTATTTTGTGAAGAGGTTTGGAGAGAAGGCCAGACATTCTTCACCAGTACCTACAAAGAATAAAGAGACATGAGGGAGCTGATGCAGTTACCTGCAACATCTATGCCATGTTGGTTTTCCTGCCTAAAGATGTAGCAACTTATCCTTGCATGAAATGTAAGCTGATTACCCTGCTGGCGTCTCTATCCACACTTCAGCTCATTGGAAAAGATGAAGTATTTTGAGATAAAACAGCAGATTTCTTCATTGAATTGAAAGGTCTCCGGGAGGGGTACCAAATGTAGGAGGCAAGCATCTGAAAGAATGGGAGACAGAGAAGCAAGACTACCAGGAACCATGCCACGTCTTTAGAGCTATAGAAGCAACATCAGGGCCTTCCTATGAACAATGATGTTACTAGAACTGGAACAGAGATAGCACAGAGGTGGTCAGCCAAGGTTCTGTGGAAGGAAGGATTCCTATCTGCCTCTTCCCAAAGGATGGAGAAATATGTAGTGGTAAATCCCTGCTGAAAGGGACAGAGGCAGCACTGATGTGTCAGAATGTCGCAGGTATAAGGTCGTCTTCCTGGTGCAAGGATTAAAGAG